AAGGACGAATATGGATGCCGATGGGCGGACGATAAAGCACCGCAAACTCCACCCCCCCTTTAAGGTTACCAGGGGCACGAGGTTCTTGAGGGTGTGATCATCTGGGTTTAGTTCGTGGGGGAGTGCTTAAGTTCGGGGGCCCGGGGACCCAAGGTGCGCGAGGTTATGGAACTACGCATGTCAGGGACAGATGCTGGAGCTGCTTAGTCCGTCATTTAGGGGTCTCGGAGCGGCCACAGAGAGGTGCTTTTCGCGCTCTGTCGCCTGGTAGTGTGAAATAGCCTGTTTGCTCATGTGAGGGAGCAAACCTGGAGCTGCTTAGTCCGTGATTTGGGGCTCTGTGAGCCGCCACAGAGAGGTGCTTTTCCCGGTGTATTTCATGGAAGTCTGCCATAGCCTGTTTGCTCATGTAAGGAAAAGGTCTGCCATATGGACAGAGTTAACATGGGACTTGTCCTTCAAATGTACACATGTCCGCACAATGGAAATGTGATGTCAACTTCCAATGCAAAGTCCCTGCCACCGGCAGGACACATTTGACCAACTGTAAACCAACACTTGGGGGTGCTCTATGCATGTGTCTGAGGGTAAAATAATCATCATTCTGTATATAAATATGTTTGTCAATATCATGGACATTTCCTTTTAAATTGGGGTCCACGAAGCTGACACAAGATACCCACAGATAAGCACTCATCTCGGACTAAAATCCTCAATGCATAGCAGTTTTAATGGCATTTTTGTTATTCAGTGTTACCAGGGGCACGAACTTCTGACCGGTGTTCCCTCTTGGTGTAGTCCGTGGGGGAGTGCTTAAGTGTGGGTACACAGGTTCGCCTGGTGCACAAGGTTATGGAGGTGGGGGTCTTGCTGGTGCTCAAGTGTCCATATACGTCACCCCATATTCACATAACTTTTACCTGCCTTAAGAGACAATATTTTGGGATACAATTTATCAATTTTCACCCCTTTTTTCTGGTTCTTCCAAAAGTTAACTTAGACTTTTTCTGACTCTGGAGGAATGTAACGGGAGTTGTCAGGGGACTATATCCGCCTTAAGAGACACTATTTTGGGGTACAATTTATCCATTTTCACCCTTTTCTCTGGTTCTTCCAAAAGTTAACTTAGACTTTTTCTGACCCATGTACATCACCCTGGATCTCTGCCTGTGTGCCTGTGAAATGCCTGTGAAATGCTGCTCTCTCCCTCTGTTCACATCACTTTTACCCAGCTTTCACACACTTATTGCTGGGTAAGAAAGCCATGTGCATGACCCTGGATCTCTGCCTGTGTGCCTGTGAGTGTGGGACCCTGCTTACAGCAGTGACTCTGCTGTACATTTCACGAGTCAAATGTGGATGAAATGGACAGGTTTCAAGCTTCTTTCCTGGGTTACATAGTGCTGTGAAGCAGCCTCTCCTCTGGGTGGGAGAGCGAGGTGCTGGAAGGAGCTCACTGGGTCACAGCCTGCTGCTGCTGCTGCTCTCTCTCTCTCCCTGTATTCACAGCACTTTTACCCAGCTTTCACACACTCATTCCTGGGTAAGAAAGCCGTGTGCATCACCCTGGATCTCTGCCTGTGTGCCTGTGGGACCCTGCTTACAGTCGTTGGGGCTCTGTCACTTTGGGTAACCGCACCACTGTCAGACGTCTCCTGAGAATGGACGTCCATTCTCTCTAAATAGGGTTAGAGTTAAAAGGTCTATCGAGAGAGGGAGGCTGGTCAGAATTGACCCACCAGTCAAGTCTGTGACTTGTGATGTGAATTTCTCCGGCCGATACTCGTAATAAATAAAGTGTTTGACTTCAAAGCTCGTCCCGCGGGCCCACCACCTACGGGAAACATCAATGGGGTCGGGTGCGCTGCCAGAAGGGTGGCAGTGAAAGCGGAGGGTCTCGACGGACCAGACCCGGGCGACAGAAGCTGGCTTTGGGGACGTGGAACGTCACCTCTCTGGGGGGGAAGGAGCCGGAGCTTGTGCGGGAGGTGGAGCGTTACCAGTTGGATCTGGTTGGGCTCACCTCTACGCACAGCGTCGGCTCTGGAACCTTACTTCTGGATAGGGGTTGGACTCTATTCTTCTCCGGAGTTGCTCAAGGTGTGAGGCGCCGGGCGGGTGTGGGGATACTCACAAGTCCCCAGTTAGGTGCTTCGTTGTTGGAGTTTACCCCAGTGGACGAGAGGGTCGCCTCCCTACGCCTGCGGGTTATGGGGGGGAAAACTCTGACTGTTGTGTGTGCTTATGCACCCAACAGCAGTTCAGAGTATACGGCCTTCTTGGAGACCCTGGAAAGAGTCCTGTATGGGGCTCCTGAAGGGGACTCTTTAATCTTGCTGGGAGACTTCAACGCACATGTGGGCAATGATGGAGACACTTGGAGGGGCGTGATTGGGAGGAACGGCCCCCCTGATCTGAACCGGAGTGGTGGTTTGTTACTGGACTTCTGTGCTAGTCATGGATTGGCCATAACAAACACCATGTTCGAACATAAGGATGCTCATAAGTGTACGTGGTACCAGAGCACCCTAGGCAGAAGGTCCATGATCGATTTCGTTATCGTATCATCGGACCTGAGGCCGTATGTTTTGGACACTCGGGTAAAGAGAGGGGCGGAGTTGTCAACTGATCACCATCTGGTGGTGAGTTGGGTCGAGTGGCGGGGGAAGCCTCTGGATAGACCTGGTAAGCCCAAACGTGTAGTTCGGGTGAACTGGGAACGTCTGGAGGAGGCCCAAGTTCAGGAGGCCTTCAACTCACACCTCCGGCGGAGCTTTTCGGGCATTCCTGTGGAGGTTGGGGACATTGAACCAGAGTGGTCGGTGTTCAAAGCCTCTATTGCCGAAGCCGCGGCGGGGAGCTGTGGTCTCAAGGTCCTAGGTGCCTCAAGGGGCGGTAACCCTCGAACCTCCTGGTGGACACCGGTGGTCAGGGAAGCCGTCCGACTGAAGAAGGAGGCCTTCAGGGATTTGTTATCCCGGGGGACTCCCGAGGCAGTTGCAAGGTACCGACAGGCCCGAAGGGCAGCAGCCTCATCCGTGGCCGAGGCAAAGCAGCGGGTGTGGGAGAAGTTCGGAGAAGACATGGAGAAGGACTTTCGGGCGGCACCAAAGTTGTTCTGGAAAAACTGTCCGACACCTCAGGAGGGGGGAAGCAGGGAACCATCCAAGCTGTGTACAGTAAGGATGGGACGTTGTTGACCTCAACTGATGGAGTGTTAGGGCGTTGGAAGGAACACTTTGAGGAACTCCTGAACCCGACAACTCCGCCCTCTATGTTAGAGGCAGAGCTGGAGTATGACGGGGGATCAACACCAATCTCCCGGGGGGAGGTCACTGAGGTCGTCAAACAACTCCACAGTGGCAAAGCCCCGGGGGTGGATGAGATCCGCCCGGAAATGCTGAAGGCTCTGGGTGTTGAGGGACTGTCATGGTTGACACGTCTCATCAACGTTGCGTGGAAGTCGGAAACAGTACCGAAGGAGTGGCAGACCGGGGTGGTGGTTCCCCTATTTAAAAAGGGGGATCAGAGGGTGTGTGCCAATTACAGAGGCATCACACTACTCAGCCTCCCCGGGAAAGTTTACTCTAAGGTACTCGAAAGGAGGGTCAGGCCGATTGTCGAACCTCAGATTGAGGAGGAACAATGCGGATTCCGTCCTGGTCGTGGAACGACGGATCAGCTTTTTACTCTCGCAAGGATCCTGGAGGGGGCCTGGGAGTACGCTTATCCGGTCTACATGTGTTTTGTAGACTTGGAGAAGGCGTATGACCGAGTTCCCAGGGAGTTACTGTGGGAGGTGCTGCGGGAGTATGGGGTGAGGGGGGTCTCTACTCAGGGCCATCCAATCTCTGTACTCCCAAAGCGAGAGCTGTGTCCGGGTCCTCGGCAGTAAGTCGGACCCATTTCCGGTGAGGGTTGGCCTCCGCCAGGGCTGCGCTTTGTCACCAATCCTGTTTGTAATATACATGGATCGGATTTCGAGGCGTAGTCATGGGGGAGGGGGTCTGCAGTTCGGTGGACTAAGGATTGCACCACTGCTTTTTGCAGATGATGTGGTTCTAATGGCTTCATCGGTCTGCGACCTTCAGCACTCACTGGATCGGTTCGCAACCGAGTGTGAAGCGGCTGGGATGAGGATCAGCACCTCCAAATCTGAGGCCATGGTTCTCAGCAGGAAACCGATGGACTGTCCACTCCAGGTAGGGAATGAGTCCTTACCCCAAGTGAAGGAGTTCAAGTATCTCGGGGTCTTGTTCTCGAGTGAGGGAACAATGGAGCGTGAGATGGGCCGGAGAATCGGAGCAGCGGGAGCGGTACTGCAGTCGCTTTACCGCACCGTTGTGACGAAAAGGGAGCTGAGCCAGAAGGCAAAGCTCTCGGTCTTCCGGGCCATTTTCGTTCCTACCCTCACCTATGGTCATGAAGGATGGGTCATGACCGAAAGAACGAGATCGCGGATACAAGCGGCCGAGATGGGTTTTCTCCGCAGGGTGGCTGGTGTCTCCCTTAGGGATAAGGTGAGAAGTTCGGTCATCAGGGAGGGACTCGGAGTTGAGCCGCTCCTCCTTCGCGTCGAAAGGAGCCAGTTGAGGTGGTTCGGGCACCTAGTTAGGATGCCACCTGGGCGCCTCCCTAGGGAGGTGTTCCAGGCACGTCCAGCTGGAAGAGACCAAGGGGTAGACCTAGGACCAGGTGGAGGGATTATATCTCTTCGCTGGCCTGGGAGCGCCTTGGGATCCCCCAGTCAGAGCTGGTTGATGTCGCCAGGGAAAAGAAAGTTTGGGGCTCTCTGCTGGAACTGCTACCCCCGCGACCCGACCACGGATAAGCGGGAGAAGATGGATGGATGGATGGACTTCAAAGCTCCAACTCTCCTTGTGTCTCTCTGAGTCCTGACTCTCCATTGCTGCAGAAGTTTCCCTTACACGTGAACTACACGTGAACTACATCTACAACATCTCCAGGTGAACTAAAGGTGAACTCCAGGGTCAGGTTACCTGCGGGCCATGAAGCCCCTCCCGTATCTCTGCAGCGTGATGGCGGTCTTGCGGACCTTCAGGAAGCGGACTCTCTGCAGCCAGCCGCGCACCGTCTTCTGGATCCGGATGCACGCGGAGCGGAACCTGTCGGCTCGGAGCTTCTCCAGGTACGCTACCTGGCCGGCCCGGAAGAAGATCTTCGTCTTCCCGAACTGGAACATGTCGGGCTCCTGAGGAACAGCAGGGTCACACTTTATATTAATAAGCCTATTTATAAGTAATAAAGACAATATTAAAACGTGTGTTAGCATCAGGTATTAGCATCAGGTATTAGCATCAAGTATTAGCATCAGGTATTAGCATCAGGTATTAGCATCAGGTATTAGCATCAAGTATTAGCATCAGGTATTAGCATCAGGTATTAGCATCAATTATTAGCATCAAGTATTAGCATCAGGTATTAACATCAGGTATTAGCATCAAGTATTAGCATCAGGTATTAGCATCAGGTATTAGCATCAGGTATTAGCATCAGGTATTAGCATCAAGTATTAGCATTAAGTATTAGCATCAGGTATTAGCATCAAGTATTAGCATTAAGTATTAGCGAGGTTCCTGACCTTGATGAGCGTCTCCAGCAGGTTTTTACACACCAGCTTCTTATCGGCTAATGTCATGTCTGACTTCTTTAGCAGAACCCGGTAGCGGCTGAAGAAGTCCGGGTACGTCCACCTGCAGACACATTACACATTACTGACAGCTGAGCTAACTCGTGCTAAGGTACATAGCATTTATGTAATTTAGTTATTTCACTTAAAACTGTTTAACAAATGGGTTTGGGTCTGTAGCTAACGTTAGCTACATGTCTAGCTAACGGTAGCTACATGTCTAGCTAACGTTAGCTACATGTCTAGCTGGCTATCACCTGACTTCATGACTGTGTGTTCTTTGGATCAACTGATACCACATATTTGAATTCAAAATGGAGGAAGAAGAGGAGGAGGAGGAGGAGGAGGAGGAGGAGGAGGAGGAGGAGGAGGAGGAGGAGGAGGAGGAGGAGGAAGAAGTGGAGGAAGAGTTCTCACCTGGATGGATACCCCGCTGCACTGATCCTGATCGTCTCCAGGACTCCACAGGCTCTGAGCTGCTGCACCGCTCGCTTTGAGTCAAACCTGCAACATCATCATCATCACATCACCTTCCTCACATCACCACATTAATAAAGCGTGGCGTAACGCCTCGTCCTTCCTCTCTCTTCATGTCTGCGGTGCGTTCAGGGTCTGACTCGGGTCAAGTGACCGCTCTAACAGCAGGCTGCTTGTTAACCTCTCAGCTGATCACACAACACACACACACACACACACACACACACACACACACACACACACACAGACACACACACACACAGACACACACACACGCACACACCCACACACACACACCACTGTGACAGTGTGTTTTTACTGGCAGCCAGTGGAGAGAGGCCAGAATGGGGGGAATATGGACGCTCTTCCGGCTGCCTGTGAGGAGCCTGGCTGCGGCGTTCTGGACCCGTTGCAGGCGGGACAGGAATGACTGACAGATCCCAGAATACAGGGAGTTGCAGTAGTCTAAGCGGGATGAAATGAAGGCATGGATGACTTTCTCTAGATCTTTAGAAGACAGAAACGGCTTGATTTTGGGCGATGGTTCGAAGCTGAAAAGAAACTGGCTTTAACTACTGCATTGACCTGTTTGTCAAAGTAAAATATAACACTAAGGTTTTTGACATGGGGCGGACAGGTTGCCAAGACTGTTAGTAAATACTTTGAGGGATTCAGCGGGGCCGAAAAGGACCACTTCCGACTTGCTTTAGGGAGGCGTGTGGTGCAGTGGGTTGTGCGTTGGTGTTGGGATCAGGGGGTCACAGGTTCAAACCCCACTCCAGGTAGCATGTCGTTGTGTCCCTGAGACGCTTCACCCCAAAGTGCTCCTGTGGGGATTGTCCACAGTATTGAGTATGTGAGTCGCTTTGGATAAAAGTGTCTAACAAGTAACTTTCTTTTAGCTGCAAGTAGTTTTGTGCCATCCAACCCTACATTTCCTCAAGGCAGTTCATGTGGTTCGTAATATTGGACTGGTCGTTTGTTTTCATGGGGAGATAGAGCTGTGGTTCATCCGCATAACAGAGGAAGCATGGGGAGGCTAGCTGGGTGGGAAGAAAAAGTGCCCATGTTGTGGGATGTGAACCAGTCTAAGGTAGTGCCATCAACTCCCACCGCGTAGTGGAGGCGGTGTAATAAGATGTCATGATCTACTGTATTGAACGCTGCGCTGAGGTCAAGAAGAATCAGGATCGCAGTTACCAGAGTCAGCAGAGAGGAGCAGGTCATTGTACACTTTCAACAAGGCAGACTCTGTGCTATGGTGGGGCCTAAAACCTGATTGAAATCTTTCCAAGATGTTATTTTGGTGTAGGTAGGGCTGCAGTTGACTGAGAATAACCTTTACCTTGTTCAAAAGATTGAAAGGTCTCCTATTATAGGCATATATTATAGGTCTCAAATATATAAAAACATGTCTATGAAGTGATGACTCTGGGTCAGTAGCTTCAGAGAGAGAGTAGATCTCATCAGGAGAACTCTCCCAGCTAAATACTGCCGTGATGAAACTCCACATCATGTTCCAAACCACATCAAGGATTCTCTCTGAAACAGGATGGAGCTCAAACTCTTTCTCTCTCTCAGGTTTACCACAAGGTGACTTCCTTTTGATTTCCTGCTTCTTCACACAGACTCTCTCCAGTACAGGTTAGCTCTGAATGTTAGCATGCTAATGGGAACACAGACCATATTACTTCCAGAACACGTCTCATTGTTTCTGACAGCAACGTTTCTGATAGGGCTAGAACACAACTGGGTGTTTCTAGAACACAACTTCTATAACAGAGAGGACTCACGAGAACGCCTCCTTGTAATCGTTGGGTTTGATGCAGCGAACGTAATGAGGAGTCGTCGCGTTCAGAGTCTCCATGAGCATGCGAAGAGAACTGCGGAACTGAAAACACAGGAAACACGTCAGGAAACACGTCAGAGTGTATTTAGTGTACCTGGCAGTATATTGTATATGTGTATACAGTATATAGTTATATATAATAAAGTACACAGAGTACCTGGCAGTATATCGTATATGTGTATACAGTATATAGTTATATATAATAAAGTACACAGAGTACCTGGTGGCCCACGGTCTTGCGGTGCTCTTTGTTCGCGGGTCGAGGCGTCGGCTTCGCCGGTCGGACGTTCACTCTGGACGACTTCGGGGGGGGCGACGTCCTCTTTCTCATTAAATAGATCTGCAACCAGCTGAAACTGAGAGGAACAGGGTGTGTGTGACCCTGGTTCTGGTTCTGACCCTGGTTCTAACTCTGACCCTGGTTCTGTTTCTGACCTTGGTTCTAACTCTGGTTCTAAATCTGACCTTGGTTCTGGTTCTGACCCTGGTTCTAACTCTGACCCTGGTTCTGACCCTGGTTCTAACTCTGGTTCTAACTCTGACCCTGGTTCTCGTTCTAACTCTGATCCTAGTTCTGGTTCTAACTCTGACCTTGGTTCTGGTTCTGACCCTGGTTCTAACTCTGGTTCTAACTCTGACCTTGGTTCTGGTTCTAACTCTGGTTCTAACTCTGACCCTGGTTCTGGTTCTAACTCTGACCCTGGTTCTGACCCTGTTTCTAACTCTGGTTCTAACTTTGACCCTGGTTCTGGTTCTAACTCTGACCCTGGTTCTGTTTCTAACTCTGACCCTGGTTCTAACTCTGACCCTGGTTCTGTTTCTGACCCTGGTTCTAACTCTGACTGTGGTTCTGGTTCTGATCCTGGTTCTAACTCTGATCCTGGTTCTGGTTCTAACTCTGACCTTGGTTCTGGTTCTGACCCTGGTTCTAACTCTGGTTCTAACTCTGACCCTGGTTCTGTTTTCTGACCCTGGTTCTAAATCTGACCCTGGTGGTTCTAACTCTGACCGTGGTTCTGACCATGGTTCTAACCCTGGTTCTGACTCTGACCCTGGTTCTGTTTCGGACCCTGGTTCTAAATCTGACCCTGGTTCTGGTTCTGACCCAGGTTCTAAATCTGACTCTGACCCTGGTTCTAACTCTGACCGTGGTTCTGGTTCTGACCATGGTTCTGACCATGGTTCTAACCATGGTTCTAACCCTGGTTCTGGTTCTGATTCTGACCCTGGTTCTGGCTCCTGTTTGTGACTCTGGTTCTGACCCTCGTTCTGACCCTGGCTCTGACCCTGGTTCTGGTTCTGTTGTTACCTGGCTGGCCTTCAGGATGTTGATCTGCTCCTCGTACACGGTGTCTCTGTTCTTCTCCAGGAACCCTTCACACTCGTACTCCACCTGACAGTCACATGATAATAAGATGTCATAGAGATGAACACAGTCTATCGAGCAGTTTTACGTGTGACACGACGGGTGTTTCTGAGCACCTTGTCGGCGAAGTGGTTGATGATGAAGGAGGTGTTGGACATGCGGGGCTTCTGGAAGTGAGCGCTGCTCGAGTGTTTCTGGTACAGCTTCTGGGCCCAGTTCTGGTCCGTGCCTTTGGGAACCTACAACAGGAAGTGGCTGGTTAATACCAGCAGGAAGTGAAGTCTGTCAAACAATAATACAACACAGATGAAAAGTGAATCTAACACCACCACTTACTTTACACTCTTCGTCCAGCAGGTCCAGGATCCCCAGCCGGGCCTCGATCAGGTCGATGCACGGCTGGTTATCGCAGAAGTCTATCAGGGTCCAGGGAATAAGCTCCTTCATGTACTCCTCCTGCTCCAGCTTGAACACATGCTGAGGACACACATCGTATCTTCAGATATGTCTGTACAATAGCAGAGCTAACATTATATAACACCTTCAGATATCTGTATGATAGCAGAGCTAACACTATATAACACCTTCAGATATCTGTACCATAGCAGAGCTAACACTATATAACACCTTCAGATATCTGTACCATAGCAGAGCTAACACTATATAACACCTTCAGATATCTGTACAATAGCAGAGCTAACACTATATAACACCTTCAGATATCTGTATGATAGCAGAGCTAACACTATATAACACCTTCAGATATCTGTACCATAGCAGAGCTAACACTATATAACACCTTCAGATATCTGTACCATAGCAGAGCTAACACTATATAACACCTTCAGATATCTGTACCATAGCAGAGCTAAACACTATATAACACCTTCAGATATCTGTACCATAGCAGAGCTAACACTATATAACACCTTCAGATATCTGTACCATAGCAGAGCTAACACTATATAACACCTTCAGATATCTGTACCATAGCAGAGCTAACACTATATAACACCTTCAGATATCTGTACCATAGCAGAGCTAACACTATATAACACCTTCAGATATCTGTACCATAGCAGAGCTAACACTATATACCACCTTCAGATATCTGTACCATAGCAGAGCTAACACTATATAACACCTTCAGATATCTGTACCATAGCAGAGCTAACACTATATAACACCTTCAGATATCTGTACCATAGCAGAGCTAACACTATATAACACCTTCAGATATCATATCTTCATCTGTATGATTCAGAAACACCCTGCAGGTTGTAAAGAGGCTCACAGAGTTGAACTGCTGCTGAAGTTTCTCGTTGGCGTAGTTGATGCAGAACTGCTCAAAACTGTTGACCTCGAACGTCTCAAAGCTGCAGCAAAATCAAACAAAAGACACAAAAACAAACTGAATTTGTCAAGTATTAATTGGTCCAGGATCTGACAGTCGCAGATCATTGGTTATTATGGTCATGTCATTATTCAGGGGAATCACCCGTAGATGTCGAGCACTCCGATGAACGAGTGCTGTTTGGACGAGCTCTGCAGGACTTTGTTGATGTGCTCCACGATCCAGTCGAACATGCGGGCGTAGATGTGTTTGGCGAGCGCATTGCGGGCGTTCTCCGCCTGCTTCTTGGACATCTTCTTCAGGTACGTCTCTGATGAGGTGACCAGCTTCCTGTGACAGAGCCAGTGCTCCATCTGCTGCAGCTCCACGCCCAGCAGCCGGCTGAAGTGCTGCAGGTGGAGGTCGTCCCTCTGCAACAAAGAGCCCCGTTAGCTGACAACGCTAACCTGGACCACACATGATGCTAACATACCGACACGTGGCCAGCTGACGCTAACGTAATAATAATAATGCATTTTATTTATATAGCGCTTTTCACAACTCAAAGACGCTTTACAGTATGAGGGAGGGTAGACAAACAAGGACAGGCAAACAAGTAAGTAACAAATAAAAAGGCAGTCAAGAGGAAGTTGATTGAGAGGGGGGGGGGGGGGGGGGGGGGGGGGTGATGGGTAGACAGAGTTGAAAAGATGTGTTTTGAGGCGGGGACTGAAAGACTGTGAGGGACTCAGAGTCACTGAGATCTTGGGGGAGGGAATTCCAGAGCCTAGGAGCTGCCGCTGAGAAGGCTCTGTCCCCAAAGCTGCAGAGTGTGGATGTGGGAGTGGATAGGAGTCCGGCTGCGGTGGGTCTGAGGGACCGTGGGGGTTGATAAGGAGTGAGAAGGTTTGTGAGATAAGGGGGGGCCAGATGGTGGAGGGCTTTGTAGGTGAGGACCAGAATGTTGTAGTTGATGCGATGGGAGACAGGAAGCCAGTGGAGGTCTTTGAGGACTGGGGTGATGCCATGATGTGGTATGCGTGAGGAGACGTGCAGCTGCATTTTGAACCCGTTGGAGTCTGTTGAGGGATGTAGTGCTGATCCCGTAAAGAAGTGAGTTGCAGTAGTCGAGGCGGGAGGAAATGAAGGCATGGATTAGTCGTTCGGCTGCGGGGCGGGTGAGAGAGGGTAGGACTTTTGCAATATTGCGGATGTGGAAAAATGAGGTTTTGACTGTTTGGCGGATTTGAGGTTCGAGGGAGAGGGTGGGGTCAAAGATTACGCCAAGGTTGCGTGCCTGATTGGAGGGGAAACAATGGTGCCATCGATGGTGAGAGTTATGTTAGTGACCTTGCTGAGGGTGGATTTGGAGCCGATTAGGGGGAGTTCTGTTTTGTTGCTGTTCAGTTTGAGGAGGTTATGTTGCATCCAAGTTGTAATAGCTGTCAGACAGGAATCGATGTGGGTAAGGGGGGGGTTATGGAGGGGTTTGGTGCTGACGTAGATCTGAGTGTCATCAGCATAGCAGTGGAAGTCCAGGTTGAAGTGGCGGAGTATCTGACCGAGGGGGGGAGGATGTAAATGATGAAGAGGAGGGGGCCAAGTACTGATCCTTGAGGAACACCTTGGGTGACTGAGGCTGTGGCAGAGGAGTGGTTGGGGAGGGTGATGAAGTGGGATCGTTCAGTGAGGTAGGACTGGAGCCATCTGAGTGCAATACCTTCAATACCAATGTCCCTGAGTCGGGTGAGCAGGATGTTGTGGCTCACGGTATCGAAGGCTGCACTCAGGTCGAGGAGGATGACAATATTGAGGGAACCTGTGTCAGCAGAGGTGAGGAAGTCATTGAGGACTTTGACGAGTGCAGTTTCTGTACTGTGGTGAGGATGAAATCCAGACTGAAGGGGTTCATAAAGCTGGTTGGTTTGGAGATGGCAGTGAATTTGTTTGGCTACAATGCGTTAAAGAGTTTTTGAGAGGAATGGTAGGTTGGAGATGGGGCGGTAATTAGTGAGGGAGGAGGGATCAAGACCAGGTTTTTTGAGGATTGGAGTAACGGCAGCAGTTTTGAAAGCAGAGGGGACGGTTCCATGGGACAGCGAGGAGTTGAAAAGGTTAGCAAGATAGGGGCAGAGGACGGGGAGGCAGGACTTCAGAAGAGGAGTGGGTAGAGGGTCAAGGGAGCAGGTTGTGGGATTTGAGGAACCGATCAGATGGAGTATTTCAAGTGGGGTAACCAGGTTGAACTGGGAGAGGCGGCGCTGGGGAGGAGGAGTCAGGAGGTCAAGGGAGATGGGGGGGAGAAATGGTAGTGGTGGAGGTGGAGCTGAGAAGGAGTGGTTAATGGCATTCATTTTGTCTGCGAAAAACTGGAGGAATGAGCTGCAAGTAACGGAAGTAGAAGTAGGGAGGTTATCAGCACGGGGCTTGAAGAGCTTGTTAACTGTGGAGAAGAGGGTCCTGTGGTTACGGGAGGGGTCAATGAAGATGTTGGAGAGGTAGGCAGATTTAGCGGCAATAAGAGCATCTTTGTATGCATTGAGATGGAGTTTGTAGCTTATGTAATGGACTGTGAGGGATGATTTCTTTGAAAGACGTTCAAGTTGGCGGCCTCGCTGCTTCATTTTACGCAGTGCGGGTGTGAACCAGGGTGAGGAGGTCTTGAAAGTAACAGTTTTATTTTTGAGGGGGGCTAAAGTGTTGAGGGAGGTGAGTAGGGTGGAGTTGAGGTGGTTGAGCAGATCATCAGGTGAGCTGAGGGTTGCGTCCAGGGGGAGATTAGATGATAGCAGTTCGGAGAGATGGTTATGGTCAATGGAGTGTAGATTACGGAAGGTGATGTTTCTGGGTGGGCAGGGGTTTCGGGAGGGGGGGGGCAATGGTGAATTGTATGAGTTTGTGGTCGGAGAGGGGAAATGGGCAAGGGTGGAGGTCAATCACTGGGAGGTTGGTAGAGCAGACGAGATCAAGGATGTGTCCTTTGTCATGGGTGGGGAAGGTGACATGTTGGGTGATAGAGAAATTGTCCAGTAGGGTTGTGAATTCGGATGCCAGCTTGCAGGTGGGTGAGTCAATGTGAATGTTGAGGTCACCAAGTAGTAAAAGACGTTGAGAGAGGGATGAGGCAAGTGTGAGGAATTCAGTGAAATCGGAGAGGAAGGAGGGATGAGGTTTAGGAGGCCGGTAGATGAGGATGACTGTCAGTGAGGGAGGGGCTTTGAAGGCAATGAATTCAAAGGATGATACTGAGGGGAGGGTTAGTTCTGTGATCTGGATGTTCTGATTGTGGATTACAGCAAGGCCGCCACCACGGTGGGAGGGGCGGGGTTTAGTGATGTATTTAAAGCCAGGGGGGATGTTTGGTTGAGGGAGAAGAAGTCATCGGGCTGTTGCCAGGTTTCGGTGAGCTGAATGAAATCAAGGGATTTTTACAAGATTAGTTCATGGAGGATGAGGGCTTTCTTGTTGAGTGATCGGATGTTAAGGAGGGCAATGTTAGTTGAGTGGGAGGGGCGTGGTGTGGTCACAGGCTGAAGAGGTAAGAGGTTGTCCAGGTTGACAGTGCGGGGAGGAATGTGAGATGGGGGGAGGAGCGGAGAGGAGGTGGAAGGAAGTGTGTTATTATCAGTTTTTGGTGGTTGAGGGCAGTGGACTCCACTCCAGGTATTTGGGCCAGCTCTGAGCAGAGGGCGGTGGGATCCACTCCAGGTATTTGGGCCAGCTCTGAGCAGAGGGCGGTGGAATCCACTCCAGGTTTTCGGTACAGCTGGGATTGTAACGGACCAGTGGTGGGTGTATAATATGGAGTAATAAGTGCGCTCAGATGACATGACAGTTGTGGGACATGGCGGTTAGTTGACCAGATAGATGTTATGGATGATTTTCCGGACTGGGAGTAAACAAATCTGCGTTTGGAACCTCTATGGACATCTGCGTAGAAGCCCGAGGCAATTGATGACAGACAAGCTTAGAGGAAGCGCAGAAAAGTTATTGAGATTACAAAGTTGGGTGACAGAGTATCGTAACATCGTAGAGACACGAGAGGCCAGCTGATGCTAATGTTGAGACACCTGTAAGCAGCTGATGCTAACGTAGAGACACGTGACAGCAGCTGACGCTAACGTAGAGACACCTGACAGCAGCTGATGCTAACGTAGAGACACGTGACAGCAGCTGACGCTAACGTAGAGACACCTGACAGCAGCTGATGCTAACGTAGAGACACCTGAGAGCAGCTGATGCTAACGTACAGACACGTGACAGCAGCTGATGCTAACGTAGAGACACCTGACAGCAGCTGATGCTAACGTAGAGACACCTGACAGCAGCTGATGCTAACGTAGAGACACCTGACAGCAGCTGATGCTAACGTACAGACACGTGACACGACTCTCCGTCTCGCTCTGTGCAGATCTCGATGTTCCCGAGGTGAAGGATGGATGCCACCACTTTGAAGATGCTGCTCTGACTGCTTTCCTTTATCCCTGAAAAAACACATAAACACAAAATATACATTATAGTTATATTCAAGTTTTCTCCACTAACAGGTGTTATATTACGGGTTTCTCCACTAACAGGTGTTATGTTACGGGTTTCTCCACTAACAGGTGTTATGTTACGGGTTTCTCCACTAACAGGTGTTATGTTACGGGTTTCTCCACTAACAGGTGTTATGTTACGGGTTTCTCCACTAACAGGTGTTATGTTACGGGTTTCTCCACTAACAGGTGTTATATTACGGGTTTCTCCACTAACAGGTGTTATATTACGGGTTTCTCCACTAACAGGTGTTATGTTACGGGTTTCTCCACTAACAGGTGTTATATACGGGTTTCTCCACTAACAGTGTTATGTTACGGGTTTCTCCACTAACAGGTGTTATGTTACGGGTTTCTCCACTAACAGGTGTTATATTACGGGTTTCTCCACTAACAGGTGTTATATTACGGGTTTCTCCACTAACAGGTGTTATGTTACGGGTTTCTCCACTAACAGGTGTTATGTTACGGGTTTCTCCACTAACAGGTGTTATATTACGGGTTTCTCCACTAACAGGTGTTATGTTACGGGTTTCTCCACTAACAGGTGTTATATTACAGGTTTCTCCACTAACAGGTGTTATATTACAGGTTTCTCCACTAACAGGTCACCTAGCATAGTTAAGGCCTCTCTGGTCTTCTTGAAGTCCTCAGCGTCGTTCACGCCCTCGATGAAGATGTTCTCGCCTAGAGACGTGAATGTGAAGTCTTCTGCACTGGCTGAGGTACAAAACACATCAGTTAGGTAGAGCTTAAACAGGTAGATAGGTGAGCAGTTAGACAGGTAAACAGGTGAGCAGTTAGACAGGTATACAGGTGAGAAGGTATACAGGTGAGAAGGTAGACAGGTAAACAGGTGAGCAGTTAGACAGGTATACAGGTGAGAAGGTAGACAGGTCAACAGGTGAGAATGTATACAGATGTAGCACTCCAGATAGGACTCACATCGGTGTGTCCCAGTCAAAAGCCCAGCGGATCCCAGTGGCTGGGGACGTTGCCAAATTGCTAGAGGGCGTTGCCAAATTTCCCCATTTGTTCAATTACAGGATTTAACCATGAAATGGCGCTTCATTCACCAAATACACAATGACAACTGGGTGTTGTAGAACTTAGTCTGTTTGCAATGTTTGCAGCTCTGCAGTTGTGTTTGCTGAATACTGTAGTATTGAATCACTTATTTGTTACTGTATGGTTTTCACAAACTACTATAATGAAAAAACATCAATGTTTTAGATCAAATAAAGTATATAGTTTGCTTTATGCAGTATATTTCTTGTAATATTGTTGGGGTGTTTTTACACAGTACAGTAGATTGAAGTAAATCAACTTATACATTAAGATAAGATAAGATGGACCTTTATTAATCCCGTGGGGAAATTCAGTAGTTCAAACAGCAACAGGGTGAGAGTGAAAAACAGGACAGATTCACACAGATTAATAAAATCAAAAATAAGATGAGCGATAAAAATAATAATAATGAGAAACTATGTAATAAGAAATGAATAAAACTAAAATATAATTATCATATCATATATTATAATGTATTGTATTATTAAGTAATATCATACATTAACCCCATTATAGCAGATGCCACATTGAATGGATGAACACATTTATGCATCAATAATTACAACAGAGTATTTGTAAATACAAGTTGTAAAAATACTTATATGTATTTAATATTAATAACATAATGATTAATTTCAGATGATAATACTTGTCAGGGTTAGGTCTGGTCTGACAGCGCTTAGCTCTCTGCTGCAGAGAAGATCACTGCTCTAAACAAAGTCAAAAATCCTATCCAAACGGAATAAATAGAATTAATTATGATGAATACGTTAAGTCTTGTTCATTGTTTCTCACTTTTATTAAATGTTTGATATTTCCGGCACAGACCCTTTCATACCGGCAATGCGCGATAGAAACAACAGAAAGTGCGACAGCTTAAATATGCCAGTGTTAATTTCGTCAACGAAAACTATGACGAAAATTTTTCGCCAACAACCTTTTTTACATGACTAATGCCACGTTCACACCGGACGCGATGCGATGTTTGGGGGCGGCGCGATTACATGTAAAGTCAATGCAGAGACGCGATCATACGCGAATTCGCTCCGACGGCGCGCATGAAGCGGTGGACGCGGCGCGAATCACGCGATTGAGGCGATTGAACTGTGCGAGTTCAGAGTTCAATTTGTTCAACTCGGGCGTCAAATTCATGTGACGCGTTCTCGCGGAAGCCAATCAGCGGTGAGGATCTCAGCCTGCCGTCACTGACGTTCAACCAGAAAACATCAGCCATTAGCTGTTAGCAGTTAGCACACAGAGATCACAGCTCTTCATATCTGTTCAGAAACTGTACAAAAGTGAAACAAGTACAAACCACAGACTGCCTGTGTCATGGAGAATACAGTCGCTGGTTTATTTATGTCTGTAGGCCGTTGTTGTGAGTGTGGAGTGAGCAGATACTGCGTTAGCTTAGCCTGGTCGACCCAATCTCCATTCAGAAAACAAGCATTTTATAAGGTTGTTTGCCTGCCGTCTGTCTGCAGACTTGTCAAGCATTAAGTCATGGTTTTTACTAACCGGTATCAGTATGTTGTTACGTCGGCATCATTTAGAAACGTGTATTACAATTTAATCACGGTAAAATATGTTCATTTTGTTGTAGTTGTAGCTCCCGAGCCAGCGTCTTGTTTGAATGATGCGAGTAAACACAGCTGGCATCCGCGGTGAAACTCGAGCGATTAGAGCGATGCGATAGGAGCGTTTAGAGCGAAGCGAATATTCGCATCGCGTCCGGTGTGAACGTAGCATAAGACGAGACGATGACGAGCTAAAAATAGATTCTTGATAACGAAAACTATGACGAAATGTATATTTAGTTTTCGTTGACGAGACGAGACGAGACGGGACTAAGGTGTTAATGGTGGACTATCGGACATTCAAAATGCAGCATATTTTCCCCCAAGTGTCTATCTTGTCTGTCAAAATGCATCTTACGTTTCTAACTTGCAATATCATTATTTCCGCTCTCTTCACTCCAGAAGAGCGATCTCCCTGTGTTTCTCTGTGTGCGGGGGGCGGGGCCTAACAGACATGCTGCAGCGGTCACAGAGATCTGCCGGGGACGGAGCGTTCAGAGAGTATAGAGACACATTTGGACTAAAAGTTGACTCAAATGTAATTTTTCATCGACTAAAAGTTGACTAAAACGTTTTGAGTTTTCGTCGACTAAAACTAGACTAACACGTTTTGAGTTTTCGTCGACTAAAACTAGACTAAAACTACGAAGGATAGGAATGACTAAAATGTGACTAATAACCATTTTCGTCTAAAGACTAAGACTAAATCAAAAACAGCTGCCAAAATGAACACTGAAATATGCGAACACAAACCTACAGACTGGGGGTTGGGAGATCACAGGAGGGGGGGGGAGAGCTGTGGAATGTGACCACCCTCCTTTGGAGACTTACTCCACACATTCCGATGGCCAATTAGTTTTAAACAAAGAGTTTGCAGCATACAGCACAGGCAACATGGGGGGTGGGGGCTTCTCAGAAGATTTTTGTTTGTTGTTGTTTTGTGTCAGTTTTACGTCGCCACTTCCATTCACATTTTCATCATTGTTCCACAATGTTTATCATGAAATTAATATCCATATATTTTATACTATACTTGCACTGCTTACCGTTTTCATACTTTATATATCTTAGCATATTCATACACACTGTTCATACTGCTCTCAGGCTGATATCTAGTGTATTAATACACACTGTTCATACTGCTCTCAGGCTGATATCTAGTGTATTAATACACATTGTTCATACTGCTCTCAGGCTGATATCTAGTGTATTAATACACACTGTTCATACTGCTCTCAGGCTGATATCTAGTGTATTAATACACACTGTTCATACTGCTCTCAGGCTGATATCTAGTGTATTAATACACACTGTTCATACTGCTCTCAGGCTGATATCTAGTGTATTAATACACACTGTTCATACTGCTCTCAGGCTGATATCTAGTGTATTCATACACACTGTTCATACTACTCTCAGGCTGATATCTAGTGTATTAATACACACTGTTCATACTGCTCTCAGGCTGATATCTAGTGTATTAATACACACTGTTCATACTGCTCTCAGGCTGATATCTAGTGTATTAATACACACTGTTCATACTGCTCTCAGGCTGATATCTAGTGTATTCATACACACTGTTCATACTGCTCTCAGGCTGATATCTAGTGTATTCATAGTATACCCAAGCTCACTGTTTATTCATCATTCAACTCATTCTATCTGTTATTCTGTAGATTGTGAACATTACTTTTCACTTTCCTGCTTGTTGCACCGTTAGAAGCTAAACTGCATTTCGTTGTCTCCTGTAATCTGTGCAATAACAATAAAGCAGGCATCTTTATTGTAGCCTCAACAATCAAGTTCTAAGTAGTGCAATATGAAATAAAAACTAAAACAATCTGTGCTGTTGTATTTGCTGTAAAGTGTCTCTACTGTAGGCTATTTTTATTATATGTTCAGCACTTTGGCTCCACCAAACATCCTTTATAAATGTGCTATATAAATAAAACTTGATTTGAAAAACAACTACACTCTTTTGGCAGTGTTGTGGTGCCGAGAGACGGGAGTCGGAGGCGGGGTATCAAAGGTACAAGCTAGACTTTTATTTAGCATCTGAAAACCATTGTGAACAACTTCATTCTCGGGAAGCGAAGACCGGCGGAAACAGGAAGTCCGGTTCACTAAAATGTCCGTGCAGAACAATACCCCAACCCATAGATCCGTGGGTGAATAATATCAATCACCACAGTGTACACATTAACAACAACTACACTCTTTTGGCAGTGTAACAATTAAACAAGAACTACACTCTTTTGGCAGTACCAATTAGATAAATAATAAACTGTCAGACTGACACTGAAGACAAACAAACTATTTTCAGCAATCAATCTGTTTAGTTGACTCTGGGTGACATTTGGCGACATCGTTGTTTGGCTGTTTAGATGGTGTTGCTCCATCTGGGTCACTGCCGGTGGTTGAGACGGTGGGGTCTTTGGCGACTAGTTTTATAGCCTCATGTACATTAGTTAGCTGCTTCAGGAGATTGGCATTGCTGTTATTCGATGTGGACAATGCTTTCTGTCCTGCGCACAGTTATTTGACCATAATATTTGTTGCGTCCTTTATCCCCACAAATTGAAAATAGTGGTTATATCTCCAAGTTGTAAATGCGCTGCTGCTCTCGCTGATACTTGCATCTGCCATAGTGTGTGTGTGTGTGTGTGTGTGTGTGTGTGCTGGTGGTGAGCGTTGCCGTGTATGTGTGTGTGTGTGTGTGTGTGTGTGTGTGTGTGTGTGTGTGTGTGTGTGTGTGTGTGTGTGTGTGTTGGTGGTGAGCGTTGCCGTGTATGTGTGTGTGTTAGCAAGTGTTTGTGTGTCTGTGTATTTTCCCCATAAGGCAAGACCCGCCCAACTCTGTCTCTGATTGGCTTACCCTGAAATGTTACCCCGCATTAACCAATCATCACTCCTCTCTGGTCACTTTCACTTTTCCATGGTGCTGTGAGAGGACATCGCTATGTTCGCCTGTAAGCCACATCCGCAGGGAGATTCGGTTCAGTTCCATCACATAATGTAACGCAGTAACGCACCCATTTAAACCACAGTAACTATAACGGCATTACTGAATGGGAATAGGTAACTAGTAACGTTATTAGTTACCGCAAAAGGTAGTTGCGTTGCAGTAACGCGTTAGTTTGTAACACGTTAGTCCCAACACTGGTAAACACACACCTGATCACATGAGAGCTGCCGTTTCATTCAGACTGTTTAAAAAAAACAACGGTCTGATTTTAACAACTCAATGTGTGATTGTTATAGCAGTAATATTAGACACTAATAATACAGTCAACTATTAACACTGTACATATGATTGTTTGCCCGTGGGATTAGGATGATCGGTAGTGAGACCCGTGCTGCATTTTCCTCCGGTCGGATGTGATATAAAAACAAAGCGATTATTTTTGTTGTTGTGAACTCACGTGGATTAAACTACATGTATTAGTGAACTCACGTGGATTAAACTACATGTATTAGTGAACTCACGTGGATTAAACTACATGTATTAGTGCATTCATTTCAACTCGCGAACATATGATACATTCAATGATCGTGAGGATGATGATTGAAAATCGTTTGTTTGAGCCGGGCTGCATTTCCTGATCTAAAAACATAGCGATGGTTTTGTACTTACACCTACGTGAATTAAACATTATTTTGTTAAATAAAAACATGGGGATGTTTAGTAAATGATTACATGTCTCTTATTTAGCACAGAATATGATCCTATCCGTGACATATGGATCTTAACAAATATCCGATCAGATACCTGGAGATCAGCTGTTTATTTCACATGAGTTCCAGTGTGGCAGCTTTTCACGGCTCCCCCTGGTGGATCCAAGGTCCATTGCAGCTGGTTTCATTATAATTACATTTATTTATCAAGGGGGCGTATCAAGTCCTGCGGGGGGGGTTTTCCTTTTCAGCAGGGGCCCACCCCGTGCAGATCACGGACCCGCACGGGTAGGCGTCTGAAATGAAGCGCTAATTCTGTACAGGTGAAAATCTAGACAGGTCATCAGGTGAGACGGTATACAGGTCAACAGGTGAGAAGGTATACAGGTCAACAGGTGAGAAGGTATACAGGTGAGCAGGTAGACAGGTCAACAGGTGAGAAGGTATACAGGTGAGAAGGTAGACAGGTCAACAGGTGAGAAGGTAGACAGGCCAACAGGTGAGAAGGTAGACAGGCCAACAGGTGAGAAGGTATACAGGTGAGCAGGTAGACAGGTCAACAGGTGAGAAGGTATACAGGTGAGAAGGTATACAGGTGAGAAGGTAGACAGGTGAGAAGGTATACAGGTCAACAGGTGAGCAGGTAGACAGGCCAACAGGTGAGAAGGTAGACAGGCCAACAGGTGAGAAGGTATACAGGTGAGCAGGTAGACAGGTCAACAGGTGAGAAGGTATACAGGTGAGAAGGTATACAGGTCAACAGGTGAGCAGGTAGACAGGTAAACAGGTTTTCAAAGTTTCTCTGACTTTAAGTCCCAGGATCTAGAAGCTAATTCGTCCTGATGATCAAACAGAGAGACCCCCCCATCAGGTCCTCTTGGGGGTTTGATGATTTCACTGGATCCTAACTGAGACCCAGGAAACACAGTGACCTGAGACCCTGTCCAGGAACACAATGAACTGAGACCCAGGAACACAATGACCTGAGACCCAGGAACACAATGACCTGAGACTCTGCCCAGGAAACACAGTGAAACAGGAAGTGGTTGAGGAACACAGTGAAACAGGAAGTGGTTGAGGAGCACAGTGAAACAGGAAGTGGTTCAGGAGCACAGTCAAACAGGAAGTGGTTCAGGAACACAGTGAAACAGGAAGTGGTTCAGGAGCACAGTGAAACAGGAAGTGGTTCAGGAACAGTGAAACAGGAAGTGGTTCAGAAACACAGTGAAACAGGTAGTGGTTCAGGAACACAGTGAAACAGGAAGTGGTTCAGGAACACAGTCAAACAGGAAGTGGTTCAGAAACACAGTGAAACAGGAAGTGGTTCAGGAACACAGTGAAACAGGTAGTGGTTCAGGAACACAGTGAAACAGGAAGTGGTTCAGGAACACAGTGAAACAGGAAGTGGTTCAGGAACACAGTGAAACAGGAAGTGGTTCAGGAACACAGTGAAACAGGAAGTGGTTCAGGAACACAGTGAAACAGGAAGTGGTTCAGAAACACAGTGAAACAGGAAGTGGTTCAGAAACACAGTGAAACAGGAAGTGGTTCAGGACCACAGTGAAACAGGAAGTGGTTCAGAAACACAGTGAAACAGGAAGTGGTTCAGAAACACAGTGAAACAGGAAGTGGTTCAGAAACACAGTGAAACAGGAAGTGGTTCAGAAACACAGTGAAACAGGAAGTGGTTCAGAAACACAGTGAAACAGGAAGTGGTTCAGAAACACAGTGAAACAGGAAGTGGTTCAGAAACACAGTGAAACAGGAAGTGGTTCAGGAGCACAGTGAAACAGGAAGTGGTTCAGAAACACAGTGAAACAGGAAGTGGTTCAGGACCACAGTGAAACAGGAAGTGGTTCAGAAACACAGTGAAACAGGAAGTGGTTCAGAAACACAGTGAAACAGGAAGTGGTTCAGAAACACAGTGAAACAGGAAGTGGTTCAGGAACACAGTGAAACAGGAAGTGGTTCAGGAACACAGTGAAACAGGAAGTGGTTCAGGAACACAGTGAAACAGGAAGTGGTTCAGGAACACAGTGAAACAGGAAGTGGTTCAGGAACACAGTGAAACAGGAAGTGGTTCAGGAACACAGTGAAACAGGAAGTGGTTCAGGAACACAGTGAAACAGGAAGTGGTTCAGAAACACAGTGAAACAGGAAGTGGTTCAGAAACACAGTGAAACAGGAAGTGGTTCAGGACCACAGTGAAACAGGAAGTGGTTCAGAAACACAGTGAAACAGGAAGTGGTTCAGAAACACAGTGAAACAGGAAGTGGTTCAGAAACACAGTGAAACAGGAAGTGGTTCAGGAACACAGTGAAACAGGAAGTGGTTCAGAAACACAGTGAAACAGGAAGTGGTTCAGGACCACAGTGAAACAGGAAGTAGACTCACTTAGGCCCAGCTCCCTGAACTCCGGCAGGCTGCTGGACGCACACAGCTGGTAGAAGATGTGATAGTTCCTCTCGTCCTCCGCCTGAGAAGTTAACCACAGTAAATCAGTTCCTGTTGATCAGGGATCAATCACCGACTGTGAGACACACCCACCTGAAAAACCACCCGGGACTTCTCCAGCAGGTACGTCCTCATGTTGGCTCCGATGATGTGGAAGTGCCGGCTGAAGCCGATCTGGATGTACTTTCCAAAGCGACTGCTGTTATCATTTCGAGTGGTTTTGGCATTTCCGATAGCCTGAAGGACAGAAGACACGAACCATCATTATACACCACAGAAGAAGCTCACAATAATCAATACAGCAAAAAAAACACTGAAGAAGAAGTGACGGACATCATGGTGATAGTTCCAGCATGTATTAACCCACTGATGACATCACGGTGATACCTCCTGCATGTATTAACCCACTGATGACATCACGGTGATAGCTCCTGCATGTATTAACCCACTGATGACATCACAGTGATAGTTCCTGCATGAACCCACTGATGACATCACGGTGATAGCTCCTGCATGAACCCACTGATGACATCACGGTGATAGCTCCTGCATGAACCCACTGATGACATCACGGTGATAGCTCCTGCATATATTAACCCACTGATGACATCACGGTGATAGCTCCTGCATGTATTAACCCACTGATGACATCACGGTGATAGCTCCTGCATGTATTAACCCACTGATGACATCACGGTGATAGCTCCTGCATGTATTAACCCACTGATGACATCACGGTGATAGCTCCTGCATGTATTAACCCACTGATGACATCACGGTGATAGCTCCTGCATGTATTAACCCACTGATGACATCACGGTGATAGCTCCTGCATGTATTAACCCACTGATGACATCACGGTGATAGCTCCTGCATATATTAACCCACTGATGACATCACGGTGATAGCTCCTGCATGTATTAACCCACTGATGACATCACGGTGATAGCTCCTGCATATATTAACCCACTGATGACATCACGGTGATAGCTCCTGCATGTATTAACCCACTGATGACATCACGGTAGTGCTGTAGCGACGCGTCGACAATGTCGACGCGTCGACTTCAAAATATCGTCGACGACATATTTCCGCGTCGACGCGTCGCCACCATATACTGTACATATGGTCGCCACACACACGTGGGTCACCCAAAGCAACAAGCAGTTCGCAATCGCACTTCTAACACAATGGAGACTGAAACGGCTACCACCTCCTCCTCACAGGATTGCGCACGAAGCCCTCAAACGAAAACATCTCGCCCTAGGTCTTCAAAAGCATGGGAATATTTTAAAGTTAGTCCAAAACGCAAAGATATTTATATATTTATATCTCACTGAGACTGCTGCTGGACCGGAAGCAGCAGCTAGCTGTGGTGGCAACCATTAGCAGCTAGCATTTGCTCTCCGATTTTTACATTAAAATGGAATTATGGATTATAAATTCAATAATTGTTTTATACATATACGTTAAAAACCTATGGATTAACCGATTCAGCCGCGTTTTTTCTCATTTTAATGCCATTGAACACGTATTTTGATCAGATTGACAGCTACGGCGGTGAGACGATCTCCCTAGAAGCTCTGTGAAGGTACGTGTTGTGATGACTGTATTTGCTTCCCCTGTCGCGAGTCCGGATCACTCAGTGATGATACTATGTACCTACATAATCTGTGGAGTCTCAGCTTTAATCGGATATCTTGTATGTGCAGCTACGATAAGTAATAAGGGTACTTTTATCTTGAGTTCTGTGCCAATGTCCGTTAGCATTTTTCGCTCAGGGGTCATTTAGATAGCATTTTAGTTTGCTTCTTATGAGACTTGTGTTTTGTTTTGTGTTGGTAAACATGGTTTGTATCGTCAGTTAGCTGAGATTATTTCCGTTAATCTGGTATAACACATTCATAGGTTCTAAAATATTAAGATCCCCTGAGACACAGTATCGTGAATTTTTTTTTTTTTACATTACGTTTTTTTTACATTACGTTTTTTATGAATTGAACAACAGAAAAATAATCGTTCGATTAGTCGACTAATCGATCAAATAATCGCCCGATTAATCGTTTTCAAAATAATCGTTCCCCCCCAGCACTACATCACGGTGATAGCTCCTGCATGTATTAACCCACTGATGACATCACGGTGATAGCTCCTGCATGTAGTAACCCACTGATGACATCACGGTGATAGCTCCTGCATGTATTAACCCACTGATGACATCACGGTGATAGCTCCTGCATGTATTAACCCACTGATGACATCACGGTGATAGCTCCTGCATGTAGTAACCCACTGATGGACATCACGGTGATAGCTCCTGCATGTAGTAACCCACTGATGACATCACGGTGATAGCTCCTGCATGTATTAACCCACTGATGACATCACGGTGATAGCTCCTGCATGTATTACCCACTGATGACATCACGGTGATACTCCTGCATGTATTAACCCACTGATGACATCACAGGTGATAGCTCCTGCATGTATTAACCCACTGATGACATCACGGTGATAGCTCCTGCATGTATTAACCCACTGATGACATCACGGTGATAGCTCCTGCATGTATTAACCCACTGATGACATCACGGTGATAGCTCCTGCATGTTATTAACCCACTGATGACATCACGGTGATAGCTCCTGCATGTATTAACCCACTGATGACATCACGGTGATAGCTCCTGCATGTATTAACCCACTGATGACATCACGGTGATAGCTCCTGCATGTATTAACCCACTGATGACATCACGGTGATAGCTCCTGCATGTATTAACCCACTGATGACATCACGGTGATAGCTCTTGCATGTATTAACCCACTGATGACATCACGGTGATAGCTCCTGCATGTATTAACCCACTGATGACATCACGGTGATAGCTCCTGCATGTATTAACCCACTGATGACATCACGGTGATAGCTCCTGCATGTATTAACCCACTGATGACATCACGGTGATAGCTCCTGCATGTATTAACCCACTGATGACATCACGGTGATAGCTCCTGCATGTATTAACCCACTGATGACATCACGGTGATAGCTCCTGCATGTATTAACCCACTGATGACATCATGGTGATAGCTCCTGCATGTATTAACCCACTGACCTCCATGATGGGGCTGGAGGCGAGAACCTTCTCCTCAACGTTCGTGTCATTAGCCGAGCCGCCCACCGTGGCAAAGAAGCGCATGGCGTACTTCGCAGAAACCGTCTTTCCTGCTCCGGACTCTCCGCTCACGATGATGGACTGATTCCTCTCGTCTCTGATCAACAGAAGATAAACATGTTATTACCATGTTATAGAGACATGTTATTACTGTGTAATAGAGACATGTTATTACCGTGTTATAGAGACATGTTATTACCGTGTAATAGAGACATGTTATTACCATGTTATAGAGACATGTTATTACCGTGTAATAGAGACATGTTATTACCGTGTTATAGAGACATGTTATTACCGTGTAATAGAGACATGTTATTACCATGTTATAGAGACATGTTATTACCCTGTTATTACTGTGTAATAGAGACATGTTATTACCGTGTAATAGAGACATGTTATTACCGTGTTATAGAGACATGTTATTACCGTGTAATAGAGACATGTTATTACCGTGTTATAGAGACATGTTATTACCGTGTAATAGAGACATGTTATTACCGTGTTATAGAGACATGTTATTACTGTGTAAGAGAGACATGTTATTACCATGTTATAGAGACATGTTATTACCCTGTTATTACCGTGTAATAGAGACATGTTATTACCGTGTAATAGAGACATTTTATTACCGTGTAATAGGGACATGTTATTACTGTGTAATAGAGATATGTTATTACCATGTTATAGAGACATGTTATTACTGTGTAATAGAGACATGTTATTACTGTGTAATAGAGACATGTTATTACTGTGTAATAGGGACATGTTATTACCATAGAGACATGTTATCACTGTGTAATTTTGACATTTTATTACCGTGTTATAGAGACATGTTATTACCGTGTTATAGGGACATGTTATTACCGTGTTATAGGGACATGTTATTACTGTGTAATTTTGACAGGTTATTACCGTGTAATAGAGACATGTTATTACCGTGTTATAGAGACATGTTATTACCCTGTTATTACTGTGTAATAGAGATATGTTATTACCGTGTTATAGATACATGTTATTACTGTGTAATTTTGACATATTATTACCGTGTTATAGAGACATGTTATTACTGTGTTATAGAGACATGTTATCACTGTGTTATAGAGACATGTTATCATAGAGACATGTTATTACTGTTATAGAGACATGTTATTACTGTGTTATAGAGACATGTTATCATAGAGACATGTTATTACTGTGTAATAGAGCAGTGCATGACATTAAGGATTTTGGGAGATGGCCCAGTGGGCCATCTAAGCTAATTTACAGATGGCCCTGAGCCCAATAGAGATTGCCCTGAAAAATGCGCGCGGAGGAAATGACGCACAAAGGGTTTGAACATTTTAAATTTTAAAATGTAAATGTTTGCAGGTCTTAGATGCAGTCTGGTGCATTCTCTAGACTGAATTATAAGATGAACCACCACAATATTGTATTGTACAATTTCAATTGTGTTCTTCATTTCACTTGTTTGTTTGTTCTTGTTTGTGTTGCTCGCTTGCACTGCATAGCTATAAGAAATACTTAAGTTGTTGGTCAAGACACTTTCCATCTGACGAAGGCAGATGCCTTCATCAGATGGAACAAAGTAGAAAACATTACATTCAGTTATAACTGCCAAAACAAACATTTGTTACACTATTATGGCCCCTGTTCAAATGTTTGTAATGTTATCTACTGTAAGTTGGTCCAACGAATGCCTCCTCATCCGGAAGCTGACCGAGCAGCAGTCGAGAGGAGCCGAGCGCATCCGCCAAGCACACAAAATGGCGACGTCAGAGCTCCAGTTTGCCGGAGAAATCTAAATCTCTTCGGTCAAAATAATTTCCCTTTAGCGCAATACCGCTTCAGTTGCGCCACTTATGTGACAGACAAGAAGAGTCAATTCTAATGTCTAACACTTAATGTGGAGAAAGAGATGTCCTGTATGGGTTGATTGTGCGTTGATCTGTTATTACATGTTATTACCATGTTATAGAGACATGTTATTACTGTTATAGAGACATGTTATTACTTTGTTATTTTGACATGTTATTACCATGTAATAGAGACATGTTATTACTGTGTTATAGAGACATGTTATCACTGTTATAGAGACATGTTATTACTGTGTTATAGAGACATGTTATCACTGTTATAGAGACATGTTATTACTGTTATAGAGACATGTTATTACTGTGTTATTTTGACATGTTATTACCATGTTATAGAGACATGTTATTACTGTGTTATAGAGACATGTTATCACTGTTATAGAGACATGTTATTACTGTGTAATTTTGACATGTTATTACCATGTTATAGAGACATGTTATCACTGTGTTATAGAGACATGTTATTACTGTGTTATAGAGACGTTATTACTTTGTGATAGAGACATGTTATTACTGTGTTATAGAGACGTTATTACTTTGTGATAGAGACATGTTATCACCGTGTTATAGAGTTACCTGCCCATCTGCTTGTAGGCCTCCTCAGCCACAGCGAAGATATGGGGGTCCATGTCCCCCATGTTCTGGCCGCTGTAAGCCCGGATCACTTCCTCTCCGTAGATATGGAGCTGGTCATACGGGTTGATGGCCACCAGCACGATGCCTGCAGACACACAGGGATATACATTCATATATAACCTATGATTCATTATTATAACATGTGTGTATGATGGCACTCAGTGTACCGCAGTAGGTGTAGATGTGGTTGGGCTCCAGGAAGCGGACCCTCAGGTTGTGCAGCACTGCAGGTTCATGAAGGTAGCTCAGCGCCGTCAGGTCGTTCTCCCCCACCAGGATGTCCGGGTTACGCAGGAAGGGGAGGGGCTTCCCCTTCGGACCCACCGGGTAGGCCAGCGTCTGAGCA